ATGAGCCAAATACACTCCTGGGAGGGATGGCCTCTGCTGAGGGCTTTTTTTTCCTGATTACAGACCAGGCAGGTTCCCTTTGCAGCCTTAGACAAGACGGGGAATTCCTGCAGGAATCCCAACTCCAGTGCTAAACAAAAGGAGAGCAGTGTGCTGCCTGCCATGCTGCTGCTCCAAATAAATCTGCTGGTGAAAGCTGCCCAGGGAAAGCTCAGGCAGCTGCTTTAGTTGGGACCATTTTTCCTGTGCCTTGCTTTGGGCTGTCCCATCGAGGAAGTTTCTTTCTGTGCAGGACTATGGAATATCTCTGTGTTTATTGCTGCCTTGTGACACCTGTAAGCGCTTCTGCATATGAGCACATTAATTCACACCGAGCACATTAATTCACACCGAGCTCTCTGCCAAACTGAGCTCACTGCCTTGGGCACTGCAAGTCCTTCAGAGTAGTCATTGGCTTTTTTTGCACTTTCTTCAGCGTTTCTTTCTGTTTCAAACCCTTGGAGAGCAATTTCTGTCTGTGCTTTCACCCTGTAACACACCTTGCTTTAATTTTCTGCACTGGCTGTTGGGAAGTCAAAAACCTTGTCTCAGCTTTGCCTTCTTTAACCACAGTTCTAGGGACTTTCATCAGAGCCTTTTCCACACCCTCCCTGTAAGCAGCTGACCCCTGCAAGCTCAGCTTGTCCCGAAGCTCTGCTGTTGTCATTGACAGGTCCTTGGGTATGCAATGCCCTCCCCACAGGGGCTGCAGAACCATCTCTGTGCTCACCTGTCCTGCACCTACGGCTCCAAAATTGCCAGAAGAAAACGGTTCCAGAGGGAAATCACTGATGTTTCCCTGCCTTGGCTTCCCCACAGCCTCACCTGGCTCTGCAGGTGTGTGTGTTTTAGGGAAACCCACCCACATCTCTCCAGCTTTACTTAGGGTTCAGTGTCTCCAGCACGAGGTGCTCCCAGGCATTCATAACTTTGCAGAGATCACCAGTGCCCTGGTTCACCAGCAGAGCTGTTCACAGGAGCACCCCCAGCTTAGCTTCAGGTTAAGCAAGCTGGGAGTGTTGAATCCCTTCCAGGGAACCTGGTTTGTTCTGGCTGGAGCATCTTCAGAGGCAAACGTGCGAGTGGTGCTGCTGGGGCTGAGGGGTGGTGACCTTTGGCAGATGGTGTTGCAGAGATGCCCGGGGGCAGGCTGATGAGCAGGAGCCTTTTCCATAAAATTGTCATGTAGAGCATGATTTTCTGCTTGGATATGTTTACACCACAAAAATAATATATTTTTTAAAAATTTCCAGTACAGTTTGCCACTGCTGCACAAGAGATTGTGTCCTAACCACGAAAATCAGTATAATTTGTATGGCAAAATTCTACTTTTAAAATTCCCTCTGCAAAAGAAAGCACAGACTGCCAGTCTCTTGAGGCAGAAGCTGTTTTCTCCTCTATACACAATGATTAGATCTGTAAACTTTCTGAGGGCTGTCAATAGATATTGAGGTTGTAAAGATAATTAATGCTGTTGCCTAATCTACTCTCTACCTGTGCAGGAGAAGAAAACCTTCAACAAATAATATTCCTAAAAAGCACTTAAGAGTTAGGCTGTGTGTACATAACAGAAAGAGAAAGTCTGCTAATTCTCAGTAATGTCATTTATTGTGGGGAAGGAGAGGAGCTAAGTGAAAGGGAAATGGTCAACTGTGTTTTGAGGCCAAGAGATTACTCTGATCTGTACTATTAATTTTCTAGAACTCCAGCATAGCAGAGTTAGCTCACACAGAATTTGGTTGAAACAAGTGGAATTTTCCCTATAAAAACCGCTTGGGCCAGGATGGAGGTGTGTGGGCATGGAGGAAAACCTCTGCTGAGGCTGACTCCTTGTTGCACACCCAGGGCCGACCCCGGGCTCGGCTCTGTTCTTTCCTTGTGGCTGGCAAATTATTGCAAAATAAATATTTTATATTTTTCATTTAATTTGGCTGGACAAATTTTTATTTATGACAAGTACTTTGTGTATGCCTGATTGCCAAAGCCCTGAGATTGATGGCCTGCTAATCCCAGTGACACCATCCCTACACCAGAGCCAAGTGTTTTGGAAGATATCACATCCTTTGCCAGCCTTTCTCATCCCAAAAATGCTGAAATGGACCATTTGTGAGCAACTGAGTTGCTGCCCTTTCTCCTCTCTGTTCTACTCACAGACAGTGCTCCGAGGGAATTCTCATCACATTTCTCTTCAACGGTTGTGGTCACCTGAAATAGTTTCAAGCACCATGATATCATAGATTTTGTGATTACCAGGATCTCCAGGGCACTGAGGTCTGTTCAGCCAACTGATTTATGTTACTCAAATGCAGCTGTTTAATGGTATTGAAATATTCCTAAATTTTATCAGGTCACATTACACGTGCTGGGATGGAAAAGCTTGAATAAATAAAATATCCTTGAATATTTAAAAAAATTTATTTGAATAAATAAAATATCCTAACAGTTTGTAGTGTCAAACCAATGGCTGATTAATGACTTCCAGGCTCTGGTTACATCAGAGAGTGCTGGATTGCCTGATGTCCCTCCCACTCCTGCTTTATGCATGTTCAGCCCTTTAAAACATGGATGTTGTACCTGTGATTGAACAAAGCAGAGGCAGAGCAGTGAGAGGGAGCTCAGGGGCTCCCAGCCCCATCCTGAGCACCCGGGAGCTGCAGAGGAGCTGTCCTGAGCTGTCCCTTGATCAGGGTTCAGCATTCCCCAGGCCCCAGCTGCCCTTTGCTTGTGCCTGTCTGCCTGCTGTATACCAAAGCTAGCTGAAGGACATCATGATTTTTAAACTTTTAAAAGATTTTCTTCGTAGGTCAGGTGCGACCGTGCTGCTTGAGCATCCAGACACAGTCAGGAAAGTTTCTGAGGCTTCTTTAAAGACTTCCACAGGAGATTCTGCTGTTGATAAGTTGGAAAGAACAGCCCAGGCATTAAGATTATACTTTCAAGGTAAAATATTTTCCCTTGAGTGATGTTATATATTCAGGGTTTTATTTATTTATTTATTTATTTTCCTCTTTAAAGAAAAACCAAACCAACCCAGCAGCGCAACACCACAAAAGTGACACACACACGTTCAGGCCTCCACAGGTTTAGACTGATGTTTTACTTGAAATAACACTTTATTGATGTTTGGGATCCCCCAATTTCCAAGAAGAAAAGCTGATTATCTTCGGAGGCAGTCTTCTAGAGAAGAGCAGACCCCCAGCAGCCTTCCGCCCCAGACTGGATCAATGCAGAGAAGTGCTCTTTGATGGACTTTCAGGCCCTGTGATCTCCCAGCCCTGGGGCTTTAAAGGATGAGCATATCAATCCAGGACCACTGAACTGCATTTCCATTGCATGAGGGCTCCTCCTCCTGGCTTTGTCCGGACAAACTCGGCTCCTCCTACTTTTGTCACTATTCTTTCATGCTTTGTTTAGCAAACACAAAAAAAGCTTTGTTTGTTGCTGGGTCTTTTTAAAGCTTTGCATAAAACAGTTTAAAGTGCAGTAATGCTGTATACCTGTGATCACCTTCAGGGTCAAAATCAGTTTACAACAGATTAACCTATTTATCTTCACCCCATCTCACCCCGGCTTATGATTTCCACAAATACAAATTGTTGTTCCGATGAGCACAGTCTTCCTACTTTATTCTGAACTCTGACTTTGCAAGAATCTCTAACTCTGCGGATTTCCCTGGGAGCACTTTTCTAGAAGGCAGCACATGTGTGCCTGCCTTTCTTTCCTGCCGTTGTCCTGCTGCGTTTCAGCATTCTGAGCAAGAAGAAAACTGGTCACATGTAATTTGTAGAAGTTTGGGTACCACTGCTGCAATTATTTTGCTTGCCCTAACAGTTAGCATTAAAAATGTGCGTGCTTAGGTTTATTTTTTTTTTTTAAGTTGTAAGGCTTATAAACATGGTGTTATAGATTCTATTTCTGGTTTCATCTTCCTCTAAAACAAACCAAAAAACCCCATTCTCTGTGATATTTCCCCATTCTCTGTGATATTTCCCCACTCTCTGTGATAGTTCCCCATCTGCCCACTACTTTGGGGTAGATCATACCTAAGTCTTGAAGTGAGAAATGCTCATGGAGTGTTGCACTTTTTTAATAGTGAAGATCAATGAAATAACTCAGTAGCAGAACAGATTCTGCATTACCTGCATTCTTTAAAGCCACTGCCCATGAAAAAGGTCGGTGACCATGGGAGAATTAACCTGTATTTATTCATCTTAACCTGGAAGCAGCAGTGCAGGCAATGCAGTTCACACCAGCCCCCCCAAGAGTGTGAGCACACACTTAACAAACCCAGGAACGGAGTGGCTCCCCAGAACTGCTGAGGCAGTGTAGGAGAAAGACTGTCTGGGGCTGTCTTGCCACGTCTCCCCCAAAGAAGCTCCTGAGAGTCCCATGAGGTGAAATCGTGGAGTAATGCATCACCTGAGAGAATTTGGCTTTTGGGCAGGTGATGGCTTCCTACAGGGCTCCTTTCTGAACTCTTTGTAGGCTTCCCATAAGGGAGTCTGCAAAATCCTAATGTGATTGAGCAGATCATACTTAGGGTCCTCAGGTGCTGAACTCAAACCAGTTCTTCTCCAGTTCCCCCCAAAAGAAGAAGTTGGCTCCTCTACTCCAGGAACCGCCTATGCAATTCCTTTGCAAAAAAGGACAGAAGAGCTACAGTCCTGTGCCAATCTTTTAGCATTTTTTGGCTATGTTTTGCTGTAGGACACTGATCCTAAAGCACTGCAAGATCCCAGGAGCAAGGGCTGAGAAGTTGTGCTGTGCAGAGCTGGCCTTGGCAGCCTGTGCCAAGAGCTGCGTTTTGTGGGCAGCCAGGCAGGAGCTGGGGTGGTGCCACGTTCCCTCAGCCAAGCCCCAGGCTGCTGCCAGGCTGGAGAGAGCTCTTTGGGATGGGCTGATCCTAATGGACTCGCTGGAGCACTTGGCTCTTATTGATCCCTGTCCTATTTCCCAGAGCCTGAAGTGGGTCAGCCTTCCTTTCTTAGGCTGAGCAGGGCGAGCCCTTCCCAGCTCAGGCTGATGCTCAGAGCTGAGCCTTTTCTGAGGGCACAAGCAGCGTTTAAACCCTCAGCCTGGCTGTAAGAGGAGGTGCTGATTTTTATTCTGTGCCTGCAGCTCTGCAGTCCTGGCACTTACTGTCCCAAGTGGGCTGCCTTGGGTACAAAAGTAATGCACCAAAAGGCAGGGGGTTGCTGAATTAACTGCTGTGCTCTGAGCATGAGCATAATAACGAGCACAGATGATGGGAGCTGGCTGTGAGAGAATAGGAACAGGGATTTTAAGATACAGGACCAGCAGGTCTCAGATTGGCTCATCCATCTTTGGCTCTCTTCTGCACAATCACACTTCTCTCAAGTGTGAAGAGAGTGGGAGAAATGGTGAAACAAATAAAGACAAAGAGCCAGAAACTCACGAGTTACATGAATTTACTTCCTCCACTGTGTCACCCATTCGCAGCAGGATTTCTTGGCTGCCCTTATGCTAAATCCAGTTTGGCAGGGCTGAGGCTGGAATAAGATCTGCTGAAGGCTTTAGAGAGGTAAATGTGAGGGTAAGGTGGGGAAGGTCTGTGAGAAATGATACTTCCAAAAATTTAAAAGGTTTATTAAAACCTTATCAAAAACACAACAGAAGATGGAAGAGAAAAAATATTGTGGCGTGGCGTCGGGAACAGAGGATTTTTCCCACCATGGGCTCACCTACACAATGGAGGTTTCCCCTTTTAACCCTTTGGTCACTCCCAAAATTCTGTCCATTGACTCCTCCTTTGCTGTCCAGTGCCATTTATGGGACTATATCCTCTTATTTTACCCTGGCTGCAGTTCCTGGGGGTCGGGAATGTTGGAGTCCCCATTCCCTTGTCCCCTCCGGGCATTCTATACTCATGGTACATCCGTGCTGGGTAAGTAACCTGAATGTGTACTGATTCTGGAGCTCCTGTCCGTGTGTAAATGGATTTTCTTGAGTGTTTCTTCTTGGTCTCTCTCTTTTGCTCATGTACATACAGACACGGTGAAAAAAAAAATAAAATCTGCCCCAGATATTTGTAATATTAAAGAAAAAATAGTGCCTTTGTTTTAGTTGATAGGTATTTCTAAAGCATTTCAGTGTAACTGGAACGGGGCAATAAAAGTACCTAAGATCTCAAGAAGCCCAAAGTTAAAGTGCTGAATCTGAGTCTGAGAATGAAGCTACATGCATGAATCAAAATGCTCCAACCAGCATCTTTGGAAAAAAATCACCTTGTAAAGCAACATTCAAACCTCCAGACTGTGACAGAGCAATAAAATATTACCCAAAATCCCACGTGACTAAGCAAGAGATCTTCTGAGATCAAAACCTGACTTTCAACTGGTCTGAATCCAGTTTTTGTTTGGGAACTAATTCCTAGTTCAAACATTATTATAGACCAATCTCTAGGAGGAAAAAGAAAGTTAACACCGAAACATAGAGTTCTAGGAATTCTTGCAGAAGGAAAAGTACCATAACCACAGCAGTGAATTTTGCTGCTTTGTGTCATCTTCTAGGGAAAAAAAAAAAAAAAAGGTGCCTAGAATTACTTGTTTGTATTTTGAATTTTATTTGAATTTTGTTGGATGAAATAGAAGAGGATATTTCCTAATGATCTAAAATTACCAAAAAGGATAAGATAACAATTAGGGAATTGCATTGGTCATTTCTAGTTTATGGCAAAGGGCTACAATAATTATGTATCATCTGTCATTCACAGATACCATGTTTGAAGTCCTTCAGTCTCATCCCGGTGTCAGTTTTTAACTGTGGCCCACAGTTCAGTGATTTTTTGCTCTTTAGACAAGAAAAAGATGAGAGAAATTCACCATCATCTGTGATGAGCTGTGAGAACAGAGCTAAGTAAGTTTTAACAATTGAAATCAGGGGGAAATGTGGTAGAGAGCGACTCTCCTCTCTTTCTTTCAGAAGTCTGGTGGAAAATATGATCAATCTCTGCAGCCTCAGAGGGAATCAATTTCCCTTACATAATTTCACTGTATTTCACCATTTATGGGCCATATCTGAGGTGGAACAGTCACCTAAGTTTTGGGGAATTCTCTGGCATTTTCACACTTAATTTCTTCCTTAACATTGTGTTTCAGATTGACCAATTAAGGTCATCTAGAAATGAAACAAGGTTATGCAGACATGGTCAAGGAACTGCACTTTCCTCTTTCCAGGAAAAGGTTTGAAAGCCACATCATCCTCTCCCTGTGCTGCTGTAGCAATTTTGGCAACTGTGAAGAGCTGTTCCATTATATTTGCAATAACTTAGCTTTAAATAATTATCAGCAGCTTCCTCAAGCACCTGACACTGGCCAGAAATTTGTGTGTGCATTGTGAGCATGAGCAATATTTTTATCTGGGATTTTGGGTAATTTAGGAAATTTGCCTAAACAGGAAAGCCAGACTTAATTTTTTACATCCATATAATGATTCTTGTTATGTTTCAGGCTGTAATAATGTTCTCAGACTTTCATTTTGGTAGAAGCAAATATTTTATTCCTGAATAGGTGTGAAGGTCTCGTGTATGCCCAGACTGTGATGTGATTACACAATTGGGACTGAGGATTAAGGCTTGCCATTAATTAGGATTTTTTCCCACCCATTTTTGCGCTGAGGGTGTCCTGAAGAACTGTGTTGCCTCTTTGAGTACCATGAATCCTCCCCTGTTTATTTTTCATTCACACTCCTCTGTCCTGTGCTGGAAACCAGAAATGAATCAAGTTCCTACAGTGGGAACTTTTTACTCTGTGTTAGGAGCTTTGGGATTTGTCCAAAAAACTGTGACCAGCTGGCTGAGGACAGCTTCCAGAATATTGGATAGTGCTTGTGGGAATACAACAAGGAGTACAATTTTGGGGGCAGAGTGACTTTTCCCCAAGGGGAAAGAAGCAGCAGCCACTGCTGTCATCATTGTTACTGTTTCTGAAAACACTGAAAATGGTGAGTCTGGCAGTCAAGGGCCCAGTTCAGCTCCTGCAGTTCAGTGCCCCAAAATTCAGCTTTTTTTTTTTGGGTGCCTCAGGTGTGTTCATGCACAGCTCTGAAAGAGGACTTTCTAAAATCAAGGTGGCACCCTAAAGACCTCTTTACTGCTGCAGAAAACCAACTTTCACATAGTTGTTGCAGCTTGGGTTGGGGTTTGCTACCCTACCACGTGCACATACTGCTGCTGGTCCAGTCCATTTTAAAAGTAACTCATTTCTGGCAAAATATTTCCAGAGAAGAGCTGTTTGCTTCATCTTTCTAAATGGAATTTTTCATTTATTTTGTCTCACAGAATTTTTATAGGAGGTTATCTCTGTTAAAATTATTTTGTCTTTTTAAGCTGTCATCGTCCCTTTCCTTCAAAGGCTTATCTCGTGAAATAAAAATTTCCATGGAGATTTTATTTAAATATATCCTAGCTCCTATTTAGTTCATAAATCAGAAATCTATAAGCCATATTTCCTTCTTATACAAGGACTTTTTTTTTTTTTTTAAAGAGGATGTTGACAACTGGCTTGTCAGTAACATGAGTGTTTGCAAACCCTGGGGCTTGGGTCTGGCAGAGCACAAACTCCTGGTTTGAACAGATTTAGTTTATTCATAAAGAAAGCTGGAATTTTCTGGCCGACAACACCATACTAAACAAAATATAGATCAAGTGATTTCAAAACACCAAAAATGCTTTTTTTTTTTTCCTTCCAAAAAAGCTTTTCCATAGTGAGTTTGTGTGATATATCATGTTTTAAGAAGAAAATTTTCTATTTTAACCTAAATGAATGGAAGTCTCAGGCAGATTTGAAAAACATGAATGTAGCAAACAGAATAATCTCCTGCATATTTCCAATATGATGAGAATATTTCTAATAATGGATGACAATCAGCGGGAGAAACCTTTGCTAAATTAATGTCTCTATTGAACACAGGCACTGGTAGAAGCCAATTTTATTAAATGATATTTGGCTATTTTATGCCATTCTTGCCCATAGTTCTACATCTGCTCAGGGAGGAAAGGGAAGCTATGCTGTATCCAGGTTTTTGACCCTTTGGATCAGCCCTTGCCAGCTCTTTGCCCCAGTTCACTCCAGTTTTTCTGCATACCCTCCCAGACTGGCCAGCTTGTCTAAATTGACAAACCAGGACCAGACTATTAATCCGAAGCACCCCAGACTTCCAATGCTTTCCCAGCAAAGAAGGTGGTCAGGGAAGTGAAGGAATTTATGGCAGAAAGGGAAATCTGACCTTAGTGGGGGCAGCAGAAGAGGCAGACCCATGTAACACACAGTGAGGCTTGGGCACTAAATAAAATAACATTCACTTGGGCAGTAAATAAAAGAACATTCACTTGGGCAGTAAATAAAATATCAGGTCCATTTCCAGCTGCCATATTCTGGTGAAAGAAGGGAATAAAGACAAGGAGAGAGAGGATGATGAGGAATTGCTGCAATCCCTGCAGTAACCTGAGCCCAGGGATGGGATCTCGGGAGCACTGCTCAGGGATTGCTGTGTCCACCAGGGAAACCTGGGCATGCCAGGGGGTATTTCATGCAGACAGCACAGATTAGGGCTGGGTTTGGCAGCTCTTCAGGGAAATCCTGCCACTAAAATGACATTCCTGGGCAGCACTGTGCCCTTTGGAGAGAAACATCCTCTCTGAGCATCGCTGGTGTGTCCCGAGCCACAAACTCCTCTTGGAGACCACCCCAATCCTAGCACTGCTCATCAGAGTGTTCAATATCCTCCTCCAGCAGGATCAAAATAAATCTCTGCACAGCTTTTTTCTCATTCTTCTTCTAAGATGGGATGAGAGAGGAGAAATAAAACTGTGTTTCAGCTGCAGTCAGATATTATTCCAGCCAGAAGAGTGCTGGGGAGGTAGGAAATGCCAGCTCAGGGCAGGCTTTGCTCCATCACTTGAACAGCTGTCCCAAATGATGGCTAATCAGAGATAAAGCAGGCACCAGCCGTGCAGTTCCTGCACTGCAGCTCCAGCAGATTTGCAAGGGAAATTCAGATCCACAGGTGGTCCTTACCTTTGGCAGAAGGTCAAAAGAACATCACAACTTTCTTATCTCCCTGTTTTATCTGCCAAAGGTGGGGGGAACTGAGGAAAATATCTGAGTTTTTGTAACTGTAGCATTTAAACAGAGACACACCATTGCAGGGACTGAATGATGTTTACAACATTTTAAGGATGACAAAATTAAACTTTTTTTTTTTTTTCCACAGTACAGAGGTGCAGTTTAGAGGCTTGTTCTCTCCATGGGAAAGCTATAAATTCTAATATTCAATTCCATAAGTATCTGTGCTTGTTCTCTCCACGCAAAAGCTATAAATCCTGATATTAAATTCCATTAAGTCTGTTTAAATGTTACTGTGGCATTATTTTAACAGGTTTTATTTTCAGACTGAAAAGGGGTTTTAAACTATAAATTTTGTTGATTCTCCTCTTCTGTATGATTTTTCCCTTGTTCAAGCCCTACAAAAATCTTTGTTACACTGAATAACTGGTAGTTCAGGGATAATGATATAATGATTATCTGAGATAATGATCGATGCACACAACCCTCGATGTCAGGTCATTGCTGGATGCCAGGGTCAGGATTCAGATCCAGATTTCTGACACTCCTGCTCCAAAGGGTGGGGCACCAAAGCAGCTCCTCAGCAAGATCCCTGATCACATCAACTGCAGATTTTTCCAGTCTGAGCTATCTTTGGTATATTGCAATACTCAGGTGTCATTCCTGGGGGATCTGTGAGGATGGGAGAAGCTTTGACCTGGTGCCAAAGTATTTGCATGTATTTTTTCCAGCAAACCACATCCACTCAGGTGATTTTCTGTGCTGGTTGGCTGTGGGTACAGAAATCTCCAGCTGTTGGCCTGCCACCTTCTGACACACAGCTGGAGCTGTATGGGTGATAAAGTGGCTGCAAGGTCTCTTAAAATTAATATTTTAAATGTAATTGAAGGAAAAATAATTCGATAATTCTCAGTTGAAGAGCCAGAAACTGTTTTGTAGAAAATGATTTGTTGTGTTCAATGATGATTCACATAAGAGAGGTAAATAAAGATTATGAATGTTCCTTTTATTTTTGCAAGAGTAAAAAGTTCTGGCTCATTCATAGTATTGTTGCACAGATGGACAAGGGACACGCAAAGTAAAGGTGATTAATTAAAACAAGAGGAAGAAATAGAGGGTCAGGAGAGGCAAATTGATGAGAAAGACAAGGTAATTTATACTCTCAGTGCTGTGTAACTGTAACAAGTGCTACAGCTGAATTTGTTGTTTGAAGTACATGCCACAATTGTTTATCCAGTGGCACAGCTACCTTGGGCTGGCAGCTGAATTTCTGATTCTATGATAAAAACTTGTGTTTGGTTTTCCTAAATGCTGAACATCCCCTGTTCCTGGGAGCTTCAGAGACCCAGCAGCCTCACCATTGTCTGCTGCTTCTTTTGGCTGAGTTTTAGACTGATTTTAAATTTCTCCCTCTGACGGTGTTGCTGTTTCTTCCTTGGGAAATTTTGGAATACCTTTAGACATCTTTACATCTACTCCAATGGATATTCTTTGAAGAGAAATATGACTTTCAAACCACTGTTTAAAAGAACAGGAAAGTTAATTTGAAGTGTCTGATTTCCTAGTGAAAAGAATCAGCTTTGTTTTTAGAGCAGATCTATGGATGTGTGGGCAGACAAGATATGTTTGAGTTCCAATTTACCAAGTTGGAGCAGAGCAGGTAAATCTTTGTCCCATCTCTCACTCCCTCACTCCTTTTTTTTAAATTTTTTTTTTTTTTTACACAGACTAAAAAGTTCCCACTGTAGGAAGTTAACTTCATGTCTGGTTTCCAGCACAGGACAGAGGAGTGTGAATGAAAAATAAACAGGGGAGAATTCATGGTACTCAAAGAGGGAACACGGTTCTCAAGGACACCCTCAGTTTTTGTTTTTGGTTTATTTTTGGTTTTGTTTTTTTTTTGTTTTTTTTTTTTTTTTTTTTTAGGAAACCTAATCAAGGTAATTGACATTTAGCAATCAGGTTTTAGGATCTTGACAGTT